AGTGAAAAGCGGACAATGCAATATACAATTCAAAATTGCACGCTGTTTTATGAAAATGAAATTCATGTTCTTCGCTCCAACCTGATTAGCATTAACAAACTTTTGCGTAATTAGTCAGTCGGTTTATACTACACGGAAAACAGAGCCCTTCCATTGGCCGTGCAAATGGATTGTTTATTTTTGATGATCGTCGCTGCAGCAATTTCCGAATCCAATTTGCAAGAGAGACAGATGACAACGAAGTTGAATAAATATTTGATTACGAAACTTGTGTGTTTGCACCCTTTTCACGGATCTATCGAGTGAAAACAAGTAAAGTTGCGAAACTCGGAAAATATGGAAGTGCCAGAAGTGAATGTCAGCGTGTAAACTTTGTTGGTTTGAGGTACGTTGAAGTTTACTTTTCGCCGAGGTGACGTGGCAAAGTTCGCCGACGATATTAAACGTTTATTTCGATGATCCGCATTGAAATGTTGCCTCGTTCTCTTGTATGCACGTGTGCGATGTGACTGAAGACCGAATGAAAGAAACGACTGGTTTCGCGTTACAAAGATGAGTATCTTCGTGGAAGATGATCGCATAATGCCTCGGAACGAAATGAACAACAAAAAAAACGAAGACGTCGTCCACTCTCCGCCGCACTGTGCACAGAGAACTTGGTTATGCAAACAAGCGGAAATTGAATCTTGTACGCGTTGCGTTGAAATTTAATATTATGAAGATCGCGACAGAGTTATTAGAATATAGATGAGATAAAGAAAAGGGAGATATTTTCCCTATTTAATACCGACGAGCTCGTAATATTTCGCTTGAAATTGGAAAACAACACACAAACTCAGATGTTGTTAAATTAGTAAGAAGACTTGTACTAAAGTACACAATTTGATGATGTTTACTGGATACAAAAGATGTAAACAACAAGTATGATGTAATAATATACAAACAAATTGCGAACTGCATTCCCTAATCAGACAACAAACTGGAAGAAAGAATTCCTCTTGATATTGACTGCAGACCCATTCGAAAATTATTAAGAGTTTGCTGTCAAACTGGCTTGTACAGACCAAATTTGTGGAATTAAAAACAATTTGGACTGCTCAAGCCAGTTTAACAACGAAATCGTAATGATTTTAAAATAGCTTTTGTATCTCCATTTCAATAGACTCTTGTTTTTATTGATGCCGAATACCAATTGGAAATTCCTGTTTTCCAAAGTAACAACAATTCTTTGTACCTCCACAATATTACCAATGCTTTGATTTTTTTAACTATCGCAGAAGAACGATACTTTCAATCTGGTGATCGGTTAACGAATTGTTCAAACTTTGATCAAATCGTATACGAAAACTTTTGCGAAAAAGGTTATATTCTGACAACAAACACATGTTTGGATAACGTACACTTTATAGACAGATCAACGTTACTTTTGAGAGCTAACGTCAGTGTTTATATGAAGCTCTTTTTCGATGATTAGCTAACGAACAATTCGGTTTTCGAACATCGTATTTTGAACGGTTAACCAATCACCCAGAGTATTAATTATTTTAATAATGTATATGTTACGGTAAAAGTACATAATCGGTAAATGTATGTTCAACTTACATTTACCCACTATTTCTGGGAAATGTGTACACTTAACCAATGGCGTCGGTAAATGTTCATATAGGAAAATAAAATATATAAGTTATGTCACGCCAAAAAAAAAACTAATCTCACAAACACAGAATTCTTTTCTTTTGAACCTAACACATAGTTCTTATTGCTATACAACAACTGTATCTCGTATTTATTATTTTCAATTTTTACCGATATCCGCAGGTAGATGTAAACATTTACAGGTAAAAGTAGATATACTCAAAATCGGTAAACGTATATATTTGCCGGAAAATGTATACATTTACCGATTGTGTACTTTTACCGTAACATATATAATAATTTGGTGTACTTTTATAAAGATAAAAACACTAGGGATTTTTCATGTAAATATTCAAATTAATTTCATTTTTTGAACATTAGTTAAAAATGATTATTTGTATTTTCTTGACGATTAAACTAAATTTAAATTTCACGTTGCAAAAGTTATTAAATGTAGAGATATATGATTTTTTTATATTAAAACCGTAAATTTTAACTATTATTTCGAAGATGAAAACTCTAACCGAATCCATTTAAAAAATTGTACGTAATTGTAATCGATTTTATTTAATTTTTGCATAAAAATAAAGAATTTGTAATAAGCATAATAGACGAAGGTCAATTAATCTTAATTTATAGTAATACATTACTTACAAGTATATGTGATGAGAAAAGAGAACAATTATTAATATTAATCCAAAAATAGAGGATTGTTATTTTATAATGCACAGATTTTCTATTAAAAGTGAAAAGCGAATTACAACAAAAAAATATATGTAAAAAGTTCTTTGTGGGAACAACTGGAACGGATATGAATAATTCTCTATGAAATGATATCAAATGCCATCTGGTGTATGTTTTGCATAATGAAACGGTGATCATATGCTTTCACTGATCCAAGCGATAATTGCAATTATTGTGTGATCATTAAACATTCATATAATGATAATAAATTGTTATTTATTACAGTTTTTTAAATAAAAGTAAGAATTACTTCTTTTTATCGAGTTGCTTTAGATTTAGATCAGTTATTATATAAAACATATATTTTGGAGACGTAATTTAAAAGATAGGATATTCACGTAATGATAATCTAATCACAATAATGTTATATTTTATTATAAAGTCAAATCAGATTAAAACTTTGTTTAAATAAATATAAGTATATTCGTTCTTAGATTAGATCAATAAATCTTAATTGTTTATTAAAGAGGGGAAAGATATTATAATAATTATAAGTTATTTGTTTGGGCGTTTAGACAATTTATTTTAACAATAATATTAAATTTGGTATATATATTTTAATAATAATACTTTCTTTTTCTTTAGTGTGAAACTTTATTGATTTTAGAAATACTAGATAGAATTTCTTTAACTTTTTATTGCGAATGTTTAGTGAATTTGCTTTTTGTGCCTAACAAGAACTGAAATTGTATCAATAAATCGAAATTAACCTTTTTCTGTTAAAGTTGCGATTGATATTCTAATAAACTTAATTATTATAATTTTCTTGTAAAATGTATTATCATTGCGCTTTGAGAAACCTATAAGTTTTTGGGAATGAAGTTGATTTTAGAAAGATGAGAGATGGACTTTGTGAAATCGGTAGTTCTGAATGATTATTGCAAAATCGAAAATTTGTAAGTAAATTTTAAGTAATTATTGAAAACTGAAAGCATGATTATTACACTTAATTAATAATAAAATATTATATAATAAAATAATGAAATACGAGCTGGTATTATATATTGAATATATTAAATCTAATAAAGTTGCTACAGATGTTCCAGTACTTTTTATAGTTTTGTTGATAAAAAGTGCTTTTGCTTTTATTTTTACATTGCTTTGAGATAGTTATAACTTTCCCGATTGAAATTGATTTTAGATATGGGAGTTGGAGGATGGGATTATACAAAGTTTGTTGTTAAATATAAAATTGAAGGATATGCGATAACACGCTTAGTTAATAATCATTAATAATGTAGAAAGAAAAGTTCATTTTCATATCATTTATTGTGAATTTGCTTGACTCCATTAAAGTTGCGAAAGATAATCCAGTTAACTGTTATAGTTCTGTTGACAAAGAAGTATTATTTTCTTCTGTTTTCACATTGTTTCTGTATATTTTTGCAAATAAAATTTATTTTAGAGAGATGTGAGATGATTGGTGAGATTTTGTGAATTGGGTTGTTATGGATTTGTATAATATTACGTAAGAACTAAAAATTTGATCAATTACCATTAGGAAAGATATTCCAGTGGTTTATTATAAATTTGTAGACTTTTATGTTGTTTTGGGATAGATATAAGTTTTTGTAAATAAACTTGATTTTGCAGATGCGAGTTGGAGGATAGGATTTTGCATAGTCGGTTGTTGGGATTTGAATGGGTAAAATGGAAGCTATTATGGTATAACATCAATTATCCATTGTCCATTAAAGTTGCGAAAGATATTCCAGTAGTTTGTTATAGTTTTGTTGACTTTTGCTTATCTTTTCACGTAGCTTTTGCATAGTTATAAGTTCTTGTAAATGAAATTGATTTTAGAGATGCGAAATTGAGGATGGAGCAATAGGATTTTTCATAGTAGGTTGTTGTGATTTGGATGGGTAAAATGGAAGCTATTATGGTATAACATTACGCAAGAACTAAAAATTTGATTAATTATCGATTGTCCATTAAAGTTGTTTATTATAATTTTGTTGACTTTTGCTTATCTTTTTCTCGTTATTTTGGGATAGTTATAACTTTTTTCTAAATTAAATTGATTTTAGAGATTCGAGATTGAGGATGGGATTTTGCACAGTCGGTTGTTCCGATTTGGATGGGTAAAGTGGAAGCTATTGAGGTGTAACATTATGCAAGAACTAAATATTGGATCAATTATCGATTGTCCATTAAAGTTTAGAAAGATATTCCAGTAGTTTTTTATAGTTTTGTTGACTTTTGCTTATCTTTTCACGTAGCTTTTGCATAGTTATAAGTTCTTGTAAATGAAATTGATTTTAGAGAT